GAGGCAGTGGTGAGGATTCCGGAGATGACGAGAGACTCACTGAGATTTAGATTCTCTCATATTGACTACATGTTGTTGGTTATCATAAGCCTGAGAGGGTCTTGTGTGCTATTCTCGCTCTACCTGGGCCAATGGGTATTTCAGAGAACGTGGGTGGAATCCACACGACACGTCTCATGTATTATAGATGTACTAAGCAGCACCATATCTTGTCTGGGCAAGAGTCTCATAAGCACCTGAACCGGAACATGTTTCCTGGGCAAGGATGGAAGAAATCACACACGTGTTTGTGATCTCATAATACGCCCCTTCCTCTGCATCTGGTCCATCCTCCAGGGAAACCCAATGATTTGACTCCCTGTTCCTTAATGCCTACAACATAGAAGGGAAAGTCCATGCAAAGCTGAGGGCCTCTGCTCCCCAAGTGGTGCCCTTCCCTACCAGTCACCCTCCACCCCAGCCTCCTCCACCTCTGCTTCCCCAAATCTGATGCGCTTTTCACCAGGCCACGTCTTAACAAATGCCACTGCCCCCACCCTCCCAGTGCCAGCAACCCTTCAACAGCACTGGAGGCTGTGTTCAGAGCTGACCAGAGCCATCCCCGAGCCCGGCTCCCCGCGCTGGATCTGCAGCACGAGGGCAGGAAGCGCTGCCCGCTTATCTCCGTGTTACAGGAACCTAGCCCAGTGGTTAGACCAGGCGGAGCAGACAGCTGATAACCGCTGGTTGACTACAAGGAAGGAAAGACACCAATGAAGAGACGACATTTGTAACATCCATATTTATCTTCCTTTCCTTAAGTGCCAGCATTGGTTTAGTTAGACCTGTTTAATGTCCTCGTCCGATTCCACCTGTGCGTCCCATTAAGTCTAAACCACAGGGTCACTTTCTAAGCTTGGGAGAGCTCAAGAGGGACAAACTTGGAAAGCTTTTTTCCCCTTTGATTAAAAAAAAATTATGTGACAAAATTTCATTATTTGTTAATCTTGACTATGGATGTAATATAAAAATCCTTGGTTAAAAAGAAAAAAACAGAAATGGAATAATGCATACACTTATTTTTAAGACAGACATCTGAGCACATGTAGTTATAGAGTTTACTGGGCGGCACTTGGTTTGGGCATTTCTCAAGGGGAGCTGGGGTGATGAACCGGTAAAGGTGTTCACTGAAACCGGTAGGAGTGGCTTGGGAAGAAGTAAGAATCCCAAAACTTAATAGCAAATGTAGAAAAGGGGGCAAACATTTCTATGGCTGGATGTTAGACTATTACTAGACTTAATGAGAGAGGCACATTCTTCCTTAGAATACTCTTTGTTTGCAAAATAAAAGAACTGCGTTTCCTATCTTAAAGAACTCTCAGGAACATCCCTAAAGTATTTGTTCACATCAGGAAAACACTCAAATAATCATTTCTATTTTTCTTGGTTTAGAAAATTACTAAGTCTCTTAATGCACTAAAATCACAACTGAGATTTAAATAAAATACAGCACATTTAATTGAAAAATTAAGCATAAAAAAGCTTTGTTAATTCAAACTATCTTAATGTTACCAACAAATATTTTAGTGTCTAGCCTGAAATTAACCAAGAGACTACACATAACTATAAACTGGTAAATGTTATTGTAAATGTCTTGAGGGCAAGAACAACATCTTTATTCTCTTACTGTCTCTCTAGCATCTACCACAAAAACTACTGAGTGTCTACATAAATACTGCCAGGGGCACTCTGTGTCTTAATGTACCACAGCCTATAAGGCCATTTCAGGTTGATCAAGAAACAAAAGATTTAGAAAATCAACGAATAAGGAAGCATACGTTAAAAATGACCTCTCCTGTATTTACATCTTTTCAAAACAGAGCCAAGAAGAAGAAGTACATGATATTTTAAACTGATACTGACAACATGTTAACCTCACTCTTGTTATTCTGGGAGGATCAAGGAAAATGATTCATTTAAAAAAGACCCTAAAGACTTCAATTACACACATTCACTTTGTTACCACTTTTTGACACTTCTTCCCCCCCAAGTGTCAAAACAAAGAACTACTTCACCTTTAAATTCTTCCTATCCTTAACGGCTGCTCTGGGAAGAATGTGACTTGGGTTCTACCAGGTAAACAGTAATATAACAGAACTTTCTTTCTTTTCACTTCAATTTGAAGGTATTAGTTTATTTTTTAATCTGTTACCATAAATATCTTACAAATACTGAGTTACTTGGCTTTATTTTCTTCTCATGGGGCTAACATTTTTTGGGAAGTCTGCTAGTGGAAGTGGAAGAGGACTGTGGCTCTTTAATAATCCATCTCTTAATCCGAACCAGTTACTGAAAGGATCTGAGAAGCTGCAAGGTGAGGGGCTAGGTCAACTCAGGCACATTCAATCGGTTTCTTTCAAAAGCACTTGCTGTGACCTAACCGAGAGGTGCCAGTGGGAGCCCTGCCCAGAAGCCCCTCTTGAGTTCCAGAGAAGTCAGGATACATACAGCCCTGCCACAGAGATGAGTGTCTTGGGTCCGACTGGGGTGTGTTTGCTCTGGGGACAGGGGATGGGGAGGTGATGGCCTGCATTGTGTGATCAGCTGTGAAACGCTGACCATGATCTGCTTTCATGAGAAGAAAGCAATGTTTGCAGAACGAAATTTAAAAGGGCTGTTATTGGAATGCTCTCAACTTACTTTTACAGATTTTTGGAAACTTTCTAGTGTGAAATAATTACAAACTTACGGGAAAATTTCAAGAAGAGCACCAGGAACCCAACTACTCTTCATCCAGATTCACCAGTTACTGTTTTGCCACACTGCGTTCTCTCTGTACACACACACACACACACACACACACATGCGCGCACACACACTCTCGGACTTACTTTTCCGGAGCCGCCTGAGATTAAGCTCGTACATCCTGCCCCTTGACCCCTTAGTACTCCAGTGTGAATTTGCTGAGAACAAGGATATTCTCTTTCCTAACCACAGTCAGTATAGATACCAAATCCTAGAAACTTAACATAAATATGAAACTACTACTAACCTACAGTCCAATGTCATCGACTGACTAATATGTTCTTTCACCAAAACCTTCTTCTAGTACAGAATCCAGTCCAGGACCATGTGGGACATTTAGTCAGCATGCTTCCCAATGTCCTATAGTCTGGAACCTCTTGTGGCATCAGTATAGCTGGAGAGTACAGGTCAGGTATCTTACTGAATGTCCCTCAAGTTGGGTTTGCCTGCTTTTCCTTTATGATCAAAGTTTTGCCTTCCCCCCCCCCTTTTTTTTTCCGGGGGTGGGGGAATTAGGCTTACTTATTTATTTATTTTTAGAGTACGTACTGGGGATCAAACCCAGGACCTTGCGTAAGTTAAGCATGCGCTTTACCACTTGAGCTATATCCTCCCCCACAAAGTTATTCCATTTTTATTGAAACTCATAACTGATGTGTCCTTTTCAGGGCATACCCACGATGCCTCTTTGTTCCATTATGGGTAATTCTGATCACTTGTGTAAGTGGGTGTCAAGTTCCTCTGTGTGTAGTTAACTACTTTTCTTTAATAATTAATAAGTAATTTGTGGGGAGATACTTTGAAATTATTTAAATAGCCTGTTCTTCCTATATGGATGATTTTTCCCTGAATTGATTTTTACTCCGATAGTTACAAAATTGTGATTTTCCAATACCATAATTTCTTCTATATTTGCTGCTTTACAATCTACTGAAGGGAGGAGCATTTCCCTTTCCCTTGTGGATGGAAATATTTGTCTATTAATATAAGTATGAACTCATGGATTCTTTTTCTTCCTCAATGGATTATATTATAATACTGTCCTTATTTATTTTGATGATCAAACCTGATGTCCCAGATCTGGCCAGCAGGACCCCCTCCAGCCGGCTGCAGTATCCCTGCAGCATGCCCCACCCCCTCAGTTAAGGAGCACTTCCTTACTTCCTCAGATAAGGTGGTCCGAGGTCATCTTGTCCCTCCCCTACCCCAGCCTGGGACCCACCGCTTCTCTCAGGAGGCTGGCTCCTCTGAATGGGCACAGTGTGTAGAAATTAGGTCTGGGCACCAGGTGTGCTTAGTGCTACAGGGATGGCACTGCTTGTGAGTCCTTCCGGTTGACACAGCTAAGATACGTATACAGACACACACACTTCCCACAGCATGAGTTTACGCTCATCTCTCTAATTGCAACCCAGCCCCAAAGGGTTCTTCCCTGCCTTCCCCTGTTCTCTGCCTTTTCCTTCTTCCACAATAAGACCATCCTATTTCCTTGTTTGCTCAAATCTACAATCCACACAACATAATTTCAGAACTGCTGTATTCATATCGTTACGAAAAATACACCTATGAAGAGGCTGAGACTTTTTGCAGTTCTTTTTTCCTTTAGACTGAGGGCATAATATGTTCAAACGTTACTGAAATTAATTTTCCCACTTCCTTATGATTATATTATTCATTTAAAGTACAATTGGATAATTTATTTCAGTTTCTTTTTAGGTTTATCATTGCCCCCATCATTGATTTGCTTTTTGAATATGTAAAACATTAACATGATTTCTAAAGTCAGGTATACTTTACATACGGTATAATGTAAAGATACTCAAGAGAAGCTGCCTCCTCTCCTAGCCCTTGTGGAGAACCAACTTCAGTAGTTCTGTACGTAAAAAGTGTCACAGATTTTAAAAAAAGCAGTCATGAAGCATTGTGTTGTATACCAGAAACTGACACATTGTAATGGACTATACTTGAGTTAAAAACAAAACAGTCACAATGCCTTGGGTTTTTGTTTTGTTTTTTCTTCAAATTACGCCTTCCTCAAACTCACAAGACTCACAGTAGTCAATAAAGGTCCCAAGTGTCGACCACTGGTTTAGGCAGAAGTTACCTGCTATCAAAATCTTTGTGTTTATATGCTTCATTTCTTTCCAGTCTTGTTCACCTAAACTGCTTTAAGTTTGAAGCACGGGTTTAGGGCAAGACCGGGCATTACTGATTACCTGTTCCTCTGAAACCTCTAGAGGAGGGGATGCTGGTTGTTCAGACCGCCGACCATCCTGATAGTTTACGTTCCGTCGCTGGCGTAAAGGAGGGAAAAGACGGTTCCAGTTGATCATTCCTCCCTAAAAAGAGATCAGTGCGCAGTAATGAGACACAGACGGAGTACACGGGTCACAAGGCGCGGATGAGCCTTCTCTTGCAATGCAGTCACAGCCAGACTGGGAAATGAGGTGTCAGGTCGAACCGCTGTGTGCCAGCCAGAAGGATCACATCATCCTCCAGTCAATAAGCTAAAACCGGCAGCCTGCAGCAGGTGCACAGAGCGAAAAGAAGGTAACGGATACTGCCAAAGGTATTTGTGCAGTGTGGCTCTGGAAGGCAGCAGAAGACACATGCAGACATCCCTAACCTCAGCCGTGCCGTGTCCCCACTGATGCTGTCCCAACTCCAGCCACACTCAGTGTTTAGAGAATATACATTCTTTTCCATTATAAGTGAAGTATTTATTTTAAAAAGTGACAGTGCACTTAGTCCTATATGAAATGTCCATAAAAACCAAAACAAAAATATTAAAGAGACTATATTCTCTGATCACAATGCAATTAAATTAGAAATCAGTACCAAAATTATAATTACACACAAATCCACACATTTGGAGATCAAAAATGAAAACATCATAATGGACAGAAGATACCTAAAAGTGAATAAGATTGATTCTATTACCAATCAAGGCTTATGTGATGAAGTTAAGTAGTTGATGGAATTTTTTAAATATTGAGCTTAAAAGTAAATGAAGACTGAAAATTAAAGTTACTAACGTACAATTTAAGAAGTCAGTGAAAGTAACAATAGTCTGAAGGAATTGGAAAGAATGATGCAGACAGTTAAGAGCAAACATTAACAAAGTGGAAAACAGAGACGCAATAGAAGGAATCAATAAAAACCTAATGTTGGCTGTTAAAAAGTCAAATAAAGTGGATAAACCAGGCAAGCTTAGTGAAAAGACAAAGAATGGAGCACAAATTCTATTAGAAATAATACAAAGACTATAATGACAGACATGAAAAAATCTATAAGAATGCTTTATTTGTATCACAACTGATGAAGTAGACACATTTCTAGAAAAACAACTTGTTAAAACTTCCTCAAGAAGAAACAGAAACTGGTAATCAGTTTTGGAAACTGTTCAGAAGCACTGACTAAAGCTGAACACACACGGATGCCTCTGCAGCTCCACTCCTGGACAACAGAAAAGCAAACACACGTTCACCAAAGGCACAGACCACAATGTTCTCAGCAGCATTGTCTGTAATAGTCAAAGACTGGAAACCACTCAAATGTCCACTAAGTAAAATGGATACTTTATGATATATTCACATGATCTAATACTATACAGCAGTTCAAATGAATAAACTATAATGCATGCAACAACATGGCTAAGTCTCTCAAATACATGTTGAATACAATAAACACAAAAAAGTACACCTGCATGATTACTTTATAAAATGCTAACTTTTCTGTGTTATACTTCAATAGAGAGTCACAAAAAGAAACAGAAACCATTTCTAAAGACTTTTAGCCATTAACGTAATTGAAATAATACTTAAAACTCTACCCACCAAAAATCTACATGTGAAGTCAATGAAAATTGTAAGGACCTACTATCTTATACAAATTGTTCTAGAGAACAGAAAAGAAGAAGAGCTCCCCATCTAATTTTTTGAGGCTATATGATGCTGTTTCCAAAATCAGAGAAGGCTATTATGAGAAAGAAAAATTATAAAATAATTTGTTTTTCATTTATGGACAGATGGATAAATAAAATATTAACAAACTCAATCCAAAAATGGCCAGAAAATCATCACCTTATCTGCTACAATGTACTATATTATGATTTATCTCTGGAATCTTAGAAAATATAGTATGCAATTCACACATTAAGAGATTAAAGGAGAAAAGCCAAATGCTCACTCGACAGACAAAAATAATTCAATAAAAGTTGATGAAAAGACAAGGATGCCAATTACCACCTCTAGTATTCAACACAAGTCATAGCATAATGAGGACAAAACCAACCAATCATGGAAGAAAATGCAGAAGAACGGAAAGGGAGAAACAAAACTGTCACTCACACATGATAAGCGTCTACCTAGAAAATGAGAATTAATAAAAGTACAAGATAAAAAAAATCAGTAATGTCCCTTGCCTGTGATCACTATTTACAAACAGAAATAAAAACTATTAGGTACTGAGGAATGAAATCTAACAAAAGATCTGCAAGATCTCTATAAAAAATGGTAAACTTGATTGAAGGCTATCAGAAGACCTAAATAAGTGGAAAGAACACATTTCTGCCTGGGAAGACTGAATCCTGCCATCTTTCCACTCTGCCAATTCCAGGTGGTAGGAGAGACCACTGGTTGACTCTCAATATCCACACTCCCTTCTCTTTAAAAATGAGATTTTTTTTTTTGGTGACACAGTCACTACATTTCTCAGCTTCCCCTAAGTGGGCTCAGTTCTGCCAACGGTCTGCAGGCAGAAAGGGCATCTGGGACTTGCAGAAGAGCTCTTAAAGGGAGGGCTGCACCCTTCCTCACTGCTTCCTCCTCCTTCCCGGAGCCCAGGCAGCCATCCTGGTCCCATGCTGAGGACAAAGCAGCCGTCAGAGAAAAGGAGCCTGGGGACAGCAGCTTCACCAACCCCGGGCTGTCAACATCCGACTTCTTTTATAAGAGACAAACTTCTACCTTGTTTAGGTTTCTGTGATTTTAGGGGGTGGTAATTAGGTTTATTTACTATTTACTTACTTTTTAAAAATTGAAGGTACAGAGGATTGAACCCAGGACCTCATGCATGCTAAGCACACATATCACTTAGCTGTACCCTCCCCCTGGTTTCTGTTATTTTGTGTTTTCTGTCATATAGAGCTAAACCTATTCCTAATGGCATATACTCAAAATTCACAAGAGTGTGTGTGTGTGTGTGCGCGTGCGCGTGCGCGCTCGCGTTGTGTGGTGAGACAACCTGAAGTTAAGGGTCAGAACTATACCTGAATATTTGCAAGAAGTGTAAGGGAGGATTTTTCTCTACCAGTTATTAGGACTTACTGTTAGGCTTCAATAATTAAAGTGGAATGATATTAGCACACGACAGCAAACAGTGCAAAGAAACAGGAGAGGTGGCTGAGAAATCAAAAGTAAACGTGGGCACTTGGTATACGATGGAGGAGGCCTTGCAAGTCAGCAGGAAAAAGAGACACCATTTAACGACAGTACCAGGACGACTGGTTATAGACACGGAAAAAGAAAAGATTAGACCTTTACTTCATACCGCTGTACACAAAAATAATGTTTATTTAAAAATAAAACCCATAGATTAAGGATTTAAATCTGGAAAGCAAAACTGCCAAAAATTTTAGAGAAAATAAGAGAATATTCTCTATGTTGCCAGGATAGGAAAGAATTTCTAAAACAAAAAATACAAAGCAAAAATCATAAAGAAAGGATTGCTAACAATTACTGCAAATAAGAATTTTTGTATGATTAAAAAACGGTAGAAGACAAAGTACAGATTAAGAGAAAATGTTTGTAACATGTAACTGACAAAATTGTATCCAGAATATGTAAAGAATCAATGAGAAAAAATAAATAACACAAGAGAAAAGCAGATAATGTCTATGAATAAACAGTTTACAGAAGAGGAAACCCTGAGTTCAGGATAAACACAAGAAAAGATGTCCAACCTCACTGGTATTAGGAAATGCAAATTAAAACAGCAGTAAGTTATTTCATACCCATAAGACTAGCAAAAATAAAGTGTCTGACAGTATCAAGGATGGGGCTGACAGGGGAAGGAAATGGGAACTCTCTACATTGGTGATGAGAGTTTGGCACAAATGTTTTGGAGAAGAGTGAGCCAAGATCGAGTAAAAGTGAGGATGTCCTATGACCCAGCACTTCCATCTCCAGGGAGCCGGGAGGGCCTTGTGGGCATATGAGGATATTCTGTGAAGCACTATCATATTAAGTAAGAAAATATAAGGAGTTCCACTGTACATAAGTAGGGAAATAAATTATAAGTGGTTTTACCATATAAAAGACTACTATATGTGCAGCCAGAATAAATTATCTAGATCTAATGGATAATTCTCAAGAATATGATGTGAATTGAACAAAAAGTTGTACAAGAACATGTATAAATAATATCAGTTACATAACACTTAAAAATATTTAGAATAATAGTATACTATTTAAACGATTTTATGGATATATATACACTAGTGGTGATTCTGCACCCCCAAGGGATATTTGGCAATGTCTGGGGGCATTTTTTACTGTCTTGTGGCGGGGGGGGGGTGGGTTGGGGACAGGATGGTGGTGCTGTTGGCATTTAGTGAGTCGAAGCCAGGGATGCTAAGCGTCCTCTAATGCGCAGGACGGAGCCCACGACAAAGGATGGCCCAGACCACAGTGCCCATGGTGTCCGGGTCGAGCAGCTCTGATGCACCCGCACATGCAGATACAGACGTGCACAGGTATTACGCACCACACGCCACACACCTGCTGCAGGACAGTGGGAAGGGGATGAGCCTTTGGCTGAATCTGTAACATTTTATTCTTCAAAGGGAGTGAGAGTCAAAGAGCAGGCAAAACAAAACAAAACCTCAGGCTGTGATAGTAAAAAAAAGTGCTTAAAAAGCAGAAAGTTACAGGAGCTCTAGGTTTGGGGCTGTTTTGACATGAATCTGTGCTTTCTGTAGGTTCAGCGTGAGCCTCTGCAAACAGGAAACGCTTCCTTCACTTTGTCTTCTTCAAAAGCAATAACCACATATTTAAAAGAGGAAAAAGGAAACAGCTTGCATTTTAACAGCCATTTTATGAAATATCTGTTATTAGTTGGTAAGGAGATTTTCAAATGCAGTAAAATTTCTTGTGAAAATATACAAACACTAATTTTCCAACTGAGAGCTGTAAACATTTGTTAAACGTTTTGTCAGGCAGGAGTTACATGGATAGAACTCCACCTCTAAAGGCCCTGGCCTGGGAAGGGACGACCAGGCAGTGTTTGCGCCGAGAAGCTGGGTGGGAAGAGCTCCCCAGGGCCTCTGAGGCCCTCACCG